AGTTGAAGTCCACCCATCTTAATGTGGCCAAGGTTGAGAAACACTTGTTTATACGTTTTCTTTAAAAGCTTAAATTAGAATAAAAAGAAAAAAAATCGGAAGCACTAGCTTTTGAAAAGAGCATTTGGGGACTGAGGCGTGCCTAATGGGTGACCCTTAATCCTGATGATCTCTGATGGTCTCTTTTATGATAATTACAGGGGAAATTGTGATGGTGAATGCTGTATGATATGTTTCATGACAATGGTCTTTTGTTCTTGGGTAATTACTGCTGCATTGTTATTGTTGCTTGTGAACTGCCTAGAAGCATGAAAAAAAGGGTGGAAGAGTTTGTAATCCATGAATAAATAAAGATGGGTGGGCGGGGGAGTGAATATTTTGGCAGGAACGTTTGTTAGGAAAATGGGGGAAGGTCTCTCCCCACTTGTGGCACAGTGCTAGAGAGTCTAGCACAGTGTTAGAGTAGAACTTGAAATCTGCCCCCTTGGATGTAGAGGGCAGAGGGAATGGCCTTGAAGGCAGGAGGAAGAACTGCTCCCAAGGAGTCAAGGAATTTTTGCCGAAGACAGGAGCACAACGCTGAGGAGAAGAACCATGCTTATTGCAATGATCGTTGGGTGCCTGCTTTCAAGAAAGAGGGACCTTAAACAATAGAAAAGCATAGAGTTTATACACTTTTGAGGTTGAGAGGCAGAGAATCTGTGGCATCTGATTGGAGGATAGGTTTGGATAGGTGTTAAATGGGGGATAAATGATTTTTCTATGATGAGATAAAAACCACGGCAAACCCTTAAGCAGACAGGTGATGGCCCTCCCATTGTTTCAATATGAATGTGGTCACTCTTGGGTCATGCAGTCGTTTGGAGCTAATCCAGTTTTGCATGAGCAAAGAATGGCAGGAGGAAGTGGAGAAGAGAGATTGCAGGAGAGGCAAGGGGGAGTGGGGGAGAGTTTCCAGCTTTATTTTATTATTTTTCCATCACAAAGACAGTGGGCAGATAAGAGGATCTTGAGCCCCAGCGAAGAAAGTAACTTGGGAAAACGTCTAAGCCCTAGTTCACACCAAGACAAAGGGAGGGAGGGGGAAGCCCATTCAGACTTGCAAGATCGCTATTACAGTAAAAGTGGAGCTGACCTACATGGAGTTGGTTTCTTAGCCTGGTCTACCTTGAAGGGCCGACATCAGATCTCTGTTTGAAAATTGCACAGCAAGCAATCAGTTTGAGACTCAAAAAGGGTTATGTGTCCTTGCAATATCAGAGGCTTATGAAGAATGGCAGGGGTGGGGAAAAATGGAGGGTCAGAGATCAGAGATAGAAGAGGGATCAGTATGTCAATATACGCCTTCCGTGCCTGATAACACAGCTCTGGGCTGAAAAAAGTTGTTCCCCTCTTGGGTTGTCGAGCATTGTTCAAGACAGGAATCTGTGCTCCAGAGGCTGGAAGCCCTAATTTAAGCCCAAGGACCTCCCAAACTCCTTAAGTCACCAGCCCCTCCTCTGGAAAGGTACATCCTGCAGTCTATCGTTCATAACTATGGTGACCCTATTTTCTTGGAAAAAATAAAGGACCAACTGGAAAAAGGGGCAAATCTGAAAGAGATTCATAAAAATTAATTGCTTTTTTTTCCCCATCCAAATTCACGGACCCCTTGAAATCTAGGCGTTGAACCAGAGACTTAAGCATTAGAGCAGTGTTTCTCAAACTTGGCCACTTTAAGATGTGTGGACTTCAACTCCCAGAATCCCCCAGCCAGCAAGGGAATTCCCCAGCCAGCAATTCCCCAGCAAGGCTGGCTGGGGCATTCTGGGAGTTGAAGTCCACACATCTTAAAGTGGCCAAGTTTGGGAAACACTGCACTAGGGAGATGCGTGCATTAACTTTGAGTTACTCTGTCAGCGAAGTGCAATGATTTGCCCAGAATGACAGGACTCTCTGCGTTTCAGCTTCC